CTGGAAAATTTAAGGGGTAGTTATATAATAATTTTGGACGATCTCGGGCGGTCGGATACTTATGACCGCTACTGTACCAGCTTAAAAACATTGGAAGATGGCTGCAAGAAATTGTACAAAGTTTATGGAGGCAAGAAATAAAAGTATCATTGTTGATTGATTGTATTATTAACTTTTCTTTTGCAGATAAAAATAACCTTTTCCTTCAGTATCGATCAGTTACGAAAAGCATTATTTGCTTTAATCGAACATTCAGATTCTGAAAGCATAGGTCTACAAACGCATCCAAATTATGTAATCGAATCACAACGTTTTCGAGTTCAACTAAGAAAAACCAGTTTCTTAAATTTACATGAAAATAATCATCATTTTGAGAGTTTAGGCGGAGATAATAAATTGAGTGAAGAAATGAAACTATTTAGCATTACGACTCGAGCTCGACACATTAATTATATAAAGAAAAGCTGACCTTAACAAAACCATCAAGCTTTATTTATCCTATTCCCGTTACTTTTGATAAAGCGTAATTACAGTCAACAGAAGGTTTAATGAAAAAAAAAGAGTTGATATTTATAATCAAATCATTGGTTAGATCCTTAAATGAGACTAATCGATCACAATTCCAAGGATTAAAATCAAAAAAAGATGAGCTTTTAGTAATTCTACAACAAGTTCGGGATCTTATCAATCTGACTAATAGCGATGAAGCAGAAAATACGATATAAAATAGCAGATTATGAATTTTATTAATTTTAATTTAGTTTTGTAGCACAAATAAATTTTGTATTACCGTCGATCCCATTAAACTTCTAGAATGTTGATCATTTATATATTTAGAAATTCCATATATGGAAAAATACCAGACTGTAATATGCAAAACAGAAAAACTTACTATTATCTATAAACCATCTTAATCAATTTGCATTAAGATTGAGAAATAGAACAAAAATCACGATTGTTTAACCAGTTTAACTGTTAATTATAGTCTAATATTATTTAGCCAAAGGCGTAATGTATAACTTATTCTTTATTTTTTTGCGAAATGAATAGCTATATAATATGCAATACATAATCATCTAGTATAATTGTGAAATGTACCACCTGCAGGATAAAAAACCTGATCTGCCTATTCTAGGTTAGATCCTCCAATATACTGTATAACTATTTTAGTGAAGTATTTCAGGAAAAAATATGAAGTGGTCTTGGGGATTCTTGATTGCGAGACAATATAACTATTAGTTTGAGAATTTCTATGCAATAGTTATCCAGTAAGCTTAGGGAAGGGTCAGAAATCACGTGATTAAACGTTAATATAAGGTCTGATCCCCCCTTGTGATCTGACACTGATATATTGATAATCTTTTTTGTTGAAAGAAATTATCCATTGCACGTGAACTTCTCTTTCTCACTCATCCATCCATAAGATAATGAAAAGGTATGTATTTCTTTTATTTTTTTGCCCTTTGAAGTTGTCATTCATCTTTGCTGACAAATTTATAAAACATTTATTTAGGGAAATGTAACTTTCCTTGATCCTTATTTTAAAAAAAAATTCTGTGCCATAAAGCAACTTCATAAATATTTTCCTTGTTAGTTTTTTCTTTCATTCCAGATGTTTATAGATACTAAAAAAAAAAAAAAAAAAAAAAATGCAAACTTTTTTAATAAGTTTAAAGTTTGAGAAAAAATATTTTTACAAAAATCCAACACATATATATCATGAGTTTTGTAATGCATAGGCATATCAGAAAATAATTGAACTTTCAAATCCAACACCATCAAAATAACAACTGTTAGAGCAAGCAAATACTATGTAGGCTGAAATAAAATCGAAGGGTACAAATAAAATTAAGAATATTATTACAAGTTATCTAGCTATTTTGATTCTGTTAACAAGATATGAATTTCAAATTTTGAATTCTGGAAATTTTAGACCAGTTCACTAAGTTAAACAAAAACCTATAATAATTCACTCTGAGGAAAATCAAACATCGCCAAATGCAATAGTACAGTAAAATGCTAATTACGAAAGGGAACGTGTTCAAAAAAAATTAGTAGAATATATTACTATGCTTGATATTACAACAGAAAATTTTATGCAACAACAACTTATACATAAAATGGAAATAGAAAAACAAGTAATTACACAACAAAATAAATGACTTACCAACTTAAAATGTCATGCAGCAGCACAAGGAAGACTTCAGAAATGAAAGCGATAATTATTAGAAGAAAATATTGTGAAAAAATATGACTTACCTGGTAGACCTTCATATGTTCTTAAAAATCTGGAACTATATGATCAGTTGCATGCATGTATAGAGTTTAGTTCAGCTGATAATTGACAAAGAAAAGAATGGATTAAAGTTCATAAAATTTCATATCTTCATATAGCTATGGAAGAAAATTACAATCAATATATGTTAAAGTCTAGTCTTCAAACATATCTTTATCACGTCACCCAAATTCTATTCAAGCAAAACGACATCATCATCTAGCTTTTATTAGAAATGTTGCAGTATTTAGAAATGAAATGAATCTGCATAAAGATGATTATTATTGTTTAGCATCTGTAAAAAGTGCTAGACAATTTGCAAAAACTTTCTCTGAATATTCAATTATTATATCACAAGATGATAAAGCTAAAGTACCTTTAGGAATTCCAGTAGTAGGTCGTACTTTTTCAACAGTTCAATTACAAAATCAACCAGTATTGATCCAACTGATACAAATAAATTAATGAGATCAGGAAAATTAGCAGTATTTGTAAGACCAGAATTATGGATATCAACATCAGCTTCAAGTCATATGTTTGATTTACAAAAAATTCAACAACTTCAAAATTTTCAATCATCTTTTTAGATAATAATAAAATGTATCGTTCAATTTTAGTTCTTTTGGTAGATGAAGGACCTGATGAAAATTCACGTCATTTAAAAATATAAAATAATATTGTAAATATTTTTATAATGCAAATTTAGATTATATGATAATTCATACAAATGCACTAGGACAATCAACATATAATCCTGTAGAATGAAGTATAGCTTCTTTATTTGAAAAACTTGCTAGAATTACACTTCCTCACGATAAATATAGTAATCATTTACGAAATGGAAAAATAATTGATAATAATTTAGCATTTCAGAATTTTGCTTATTCTGGAGAAATTTTATGTGAGTTATGAAAAAAGGATAATATTAATAGTCATCCTGTATATACTGAATATATTTCAGAGAATATTACAACAGAAACATCAATTTCATGGCTTTGGATAGAAACTCATACTCAAATTTATCGTTACTCTCTTGATATTCGTAAATGTAATAATTTACAATGTTGTAAACCAAAACGTTGTGAAGCAGCAGCCATATTATTAGAACAAAATAATGGTTTTCTTCCATCTATTTTTAAAGGTCAGGATAATTATTTTTTGAATCCAATTCATATTCTTGAATATTTTAATATATTAAAAATTCCTAAATATGATCAGCATTGTCTTTCTATACCTTCTGAGTTGTATCAATGATTATGTTGCAATTTATGTGGTAAATATTTTCTAACTTTATTTTTATAACTGAATACAAAAAAGCAATTCATACATAATATTATAGACTTAATATAAGATATATTCAAAATTCACGTACTTATAAAGATATTTCAAATCATGTTCCTTTTAAAGAAATTGTTTTAGATTTTCAAAATGTATTATCTGATTTTGAATAATATAATTTTATAATAAATAAATAAAATTTTATAAAATTTTACTTGAATAATTAAATAATATATAAAATTACTATATATAGAAGGTAATCAATAAACATATCCCCCCTCTCCTTTTCTAATCATGTGATTTCTAGCCCTCCCCTTATAGAAATTACAAGAAAAGACCTGAATCTTTGACAAAATGAGTTTGGGAGGTAGTGAGGAATGATGGTATTCCTAATGATATAAAATTTTTAGGTATAAAAAATGAAGAATATAATCCTTCAGGATAAATTTGATATGAGGAATATTGCTTTTCAGCGAAAAATGGTTGAATATATGAGAAGAGAGCCCAATTATGGCAATGATTATCTTTTGCAACATACATACTTATTAAGTAATTATTATATCAGCAAGGCTATATAGTTGTTAGAGATACATATTGGCTTGACATGTTAAAATGGTTACGGAATCTCAGATATTATAGTATTCATAAAAAGTATAATTTTGTATACTTTATCAGAATTTCAGAATATGAGGCATATAAGATTAAATCATCAGAAATAAAACTTATATGTAATTCGCCATTAAAATATATATATCATATTTACGGGAAGAATATTACCATAAATTTTACGGACTTGAATGATAATTGTAAGTTTGTACGCTGAATTTTTCATATCAGTCCTTGACTCAAATTCCAAATATTGTCTTAATAAAATAATATACTGTCCAGCCATGCGAAGCGCCTCAAGGCCAATGTATATAGGAGAACAGTGTATAACATAAATAAAACGTGTTCTGATCTTCGTTAAAGTGTATATAATGTAATAAGTGATACATCACAAATCATCTGTAACTCTGTGTGACTGCTTGTGCGACTAATTAATTTTTACACATAAGAAATCGATTCTCAAAATGTTTCCCTATCTATCTGAATAGCATTTATTTGAGTTTATTTCTTCTGGAACATTGTGTTGCTACAAGTTATTCTTATTAGATTCTGATCAGAGTATATTTATATAATGTTACTAGACCTTTATTACTAAGCGGTCAAGCAAGTGAAATAAAAAGTATGTATATGTATATTCTCCAACGTCTTTGCAATATTGAGATCTACAATGCACATTCCGCATGTCTTACTCTTAAACATAAAATTTTAGCATAAAGTGCCTTGCATATTTTTCTTATCTCTCCCCTCTCACATGAAGAGAATGTGAAAAATAGTAGCATTTAAAAGGGTGGTATAGAAAATTTATGTTTAAGTCATTGAAAACTACATTATAATGTACATTTTTATTATATTTTTTACTATGTCAAATTTAGTAGCCAAGGATGAAGCTCTTTTATTACAAGAATCATTAGATACTCTTTGTAGAATGTCTGTTATTTATTTAACAATAGAGGATAATATCCTTTCTCTATATAATAATATACGAGAAATAGTTGACCAAGCAGTTACTTCATTGATAGCGAAGCTAACAGATCTTGAGCGAAGAACTAAGGTGTTAGAAATATTACCACAGGTATGATGCAAATCAGATTTTTATTATTTATCTATATCTTAAATGATGAGCCTATAGTAGATGTGCTTTTAATTTTAGTATATCATAGCTGAAGGTCAGGAAGTGCCAGCTCAGAAGAGCGATGTCTTCTAGATGTTAAGAGTTTCTGCTTCTCTCTAACTGTACGTGACTATTCAGCTAAAACAATGTTATCTAAAACACATTTAAGAACACACGTGTGAAGATTGTATATAATTT